GGAGTGCTATTTTGTATCCAGTTCGTGAGTTTTGGTGTTCTGCAGTAGCTGTGCCTTTATCTCTGGAAAGGGGGCCGATCGCCTAAACGGTTTTTACCCCTTGTGTGCAAAACGGTCCGTTACACTATGGAAGCGTCTCGGAGAAGCGCAAGGCTCTCCTGGGGCATGAAGATGTAGTCTATCCTACTATATTGCCTATATACTGACGAGTAATAGGAGAAATCTCTATCGTCCGGGTGGGCTACCCGCCAACAGTCGACCAACCCCATGCCAGTCAGTGCTCGTCGCATTGCGCGTAAGCCGTGCTCTGGGACAGTGCTGGTCCCTCTGGTGGTGTCCACCCGGGGGTCCAGGGGAGCGTTAAGATCCCCTGCCAATATCAGCAGGCCGGCCCTGAATTTTTCTAGTTTGGCCAGTGTTTTGGTAAAGAATTTATGCTGTCCGCGGTTAGGGCTATAAATGCTTGCGAAAGTGTAGGTGTGGTGTGCGATGGTGCCCTTCAAGAAGATGTCTATGTGGTGGAACGGGACTATGCGGGAGAACAGAATCGCCACTCCCATTTTCTTAGACTCTGGGTGATTGGCGTAGTACCCCTGTGGAAAGCGTCTATTCTCAATCTTCGAAGAGTCCTGACCCCTAAAGTGCGTCTCCTGCAAGAGCGCCACGGACACCTTTTCCGCCCATAACTGCCTCAAAAGTTGGGACCGCTTCTCCGGGGTATTTAGGCCCCTCACGTTATTAGACCACACTTTGAGTTGTGCGGGGGCGAGACTCCCCCCGGCCCCTCAGGGTGAACAGCCCCCGGCCGACTCTGTCTGGGAAGGCATTGTGTAATTGACTGTATGTGGGCGCGGGGGGGAAAAGGGGAGGGCAGGGGAGAGATGCAGAGAGAGAAAGGAATGGGAAGGTGGGAGAAGAGAGGGGGAAAAAAACAAACAAACAAAAAAAAAAACGGTTTTGATAGCAACAGTGAACCTCGGTCGGATAGAGTTGTTCGGCAGCTACTCGACTGTAGTCCTACCGAACTCAGACTAGTTTGTACACCACGGGTCAGTTGCGTGGGGTGTGAGCAAGGTCGCCTGCGGCGCAGAACAACCTAGTGTGTGTGTCTGGTCCGAGTCCGTCTCCCGGAGCTCCCAACCCGCCAGTCCAAGTGTCGAGTTGTTCCCGTCTCGTGGCCTATCCGTGTATGGTGAGTCGGTCTTCACGGGTTGCGCCCGTGTTTCCTTTCCTCCCTGCACCTAGCCCTCGTGATGCGTGTGCGGTCTCCGTCTAGTTTCAGTTGTCCACCGTCAGCGTTCTACCCCTTGTACCACAGGGAGAGCATATGGACCGTCCTACCCCCTCAACCCCCCCATCATCCAGATTCTCCGTCCTACCCCCTCCTGCCCTGCCAAATTATCTGTCTCCCCCCCCTCCGAGGACACTCGAGCCTTCTGGCCCTTCTTAGACTTTAGTGGTGCCACTTGTAAGTAATGCTGATTGGTTCCTGTGCCCTGTTTCGGTCTATGCACGAGTTCCTTCGTGCTCCCCCCGGTGCCCGGTCGTCCCCCCTCTCTACCCCTCTCGGCCCTGCAGGGGTCAGGACGTAGACCTTTTGGCCCTCGGGCCCGGGGGGGTGTGACGGGTGCGCTTCCAGCCCCCCCCCCGGGCACCGCCATGGCTCCCTGGCCCCAATGAGAAACCCCTTAGGAGACCCACCCCACCTCCCCACAGGCCCCGCCCCCACTCCAGGTCTTGACATGCTATTAATAGATCCAGTAGATCGGGTGCTCCTCCCGAACCCGCTCTGCCCCTATTGAGGCTGTGTGAAGTGGTGGTGGCCAATTCCCTTCTATGCTTCCACTTTGCTACCCCCACATTTCCCGTCCCCCACCCAAGTGCTGAGTTCCCGGGGGTACGGGTCTTATAGTACACATAGGGGAGTCCCAGGCCCGGGGAGAAGAACGGTACATACCCCGGATGCTCAGTTTCAAGTCCTCAGTTAATCCATGTGTGCCTACGGGCAGGTGTGCCCCTTACCCGCGGGGAAGGACGTGGGGGTCTCGGGGTTCCCGGTCCGCGCAAGAACCCCTCCAGGGGCGCGCTCTCGGGTGCTTACAGACTTCCTACTCCTCCGCGGTGCTGGGCCCGCTCCGGTGCGTCGAGGAGCTCCGCGGGGCACCATCCGTCAGGTGTTCAGCTGGAACTGTAGGGCCCGTGGGCCTGGTCGGCGGGTGATCAAGGATCCAGTTAGGGACAGGAATCTCAGGGAGGCCCGCTGCTCGTAGAAATCTAGGCACATCATTAGGCCAGCGGACTGCCAGCCAGCGATTCTCAATTCTTGCCTGCAGGCTGAACGGGAATCCCCATTTGTAAGGAATCCGCTTCTGCTGTAGGATGCCTGTGATGGGCTTCAGCGCTCGCCTGGCATCGAGGGTGAGGGGAGACAGGTCCTGGTATAGGAATACATGCGAGTCCATGTAGGTGATGGTGCGCAGTGCCCTGGCCGCTCTCATGATACTTTCTTTCAGTTGGAAGGATTGAAAACAGCACACCAAGTCCCTGGGGAGGCCATCTCTCCTTGGTGGTCGAAGCACTCGGTGGGCACGCTCTAATCCGAAATCCGGTGGAAAACATGTTTGCCGAGATTGCCGCGAGTTCAGCTGACATCTGAGTGAGGGCGTCTCTCCGCGGGGAGTCCTGCGTGGAGCTCGATCTGCTCAGTGTTCCCGGCGATCCGGGCGCCATTTTGTCTGGGCCTCGTGTGCCGGCCATACATTGTGGGGTGGACAGGTACTCGTCCATCGGTCCCGATTGCTGCGACATGGCGGTAAGTTGCGGGCCCGGGGCAGTCCCCTTCCTCGGTTTACCCATTCGGACGGGAGTGGTAACGCTTTTAACACGGGCTATGGCAGGGTTGGGGCCCGGGAGCTCTCACTGCCTGCGTCCTACTCCATCGGCAGCCCAGCCACGCCCCCAGATCATATATATATTATATATATATGATCTAAGTATATATATACAGATATACATACACACACACACACACACACACTGTCTAGGTGTATTTTACTATTAATATATATATAATTATATATATATATATATATATATATATATTAATATCAAATTACACGTAGACTGATACTGATTTAATATATATATATAATTATTGTTATATATATATTTATATATAATATAAAAAATTAAATATGTAAATACATTAAAAAATTATATCGCCAGTAAAAGTGAAGTTTTTTGAATTTTTCACGCACAAACAGCACTTACATGGACGATATTATTGCTGCGATACTTTTTACTGTTTTGAAACACAAATATTTGTGTTCAGTGAAGTCTCCCGAGTACAACAGTACCCCTCATGTACAGGTTTTATGGTGTTTTCAAAAGTTACAGTGTCAAATATAAGGGTTGTGTTTCATTTTTTTCACATTAAAATTCACCAGATTGGTTAGGTTGCCTTTGAGACCCTATGGTAGCCCAAGAATGAAAATTACCCCTATGATGGCATACCATTTGCAAAATAAGACAACCCAAGGTATTGCAAACGGGGTATGTCCAGTCTTTTTTAGTAGCCACTTAGTCACAAACACTGGCCAAAATTGGCGTTTTTTGCATTTTTAACACACAAACAAATACTAACGCTAACTTTGGCCACATCCAATTTATTACTTACAAATTGTTTTTTCTCTTTCCCTTTTTTTTTCCCGCTCTCTCGTTTTTTGGTTCCACATTCTTTATGCTCTTTATTGTGCATCAACACTTGGTTAAATGTCTATAGGATAGTGACATTTTTGAATGTATATTACTGATTTCTGATATAGGCCTGAGACATACTGAGCAAATATCGGACTTCATTAGAGATGTGTTCACAGAACTAGAAGGACTCCATTCTTTATTGATCTTCTCTGCATACCACTGTTCATTTTTTATTTTTCTTTAAAGCTTTGATTGTTTTCCCCTTGCCGCAGGCAGTTTTCTCTTATCCCAACTGGGGCCTAATACCCTGAGATGGAGAATTATTTTTTATTCTCCCTCATGGCCCTTTTTCTAAACATAGTTTTTTTTCTCTCCTCGTATAGGGGAATTTATCCAAGTTTATCATTCCCCATGTGGCGAAACCGGCCTCGCCACGTGTCCTTGGAGGGGGCTGCTTGCCCGCCTCTTGCCTTTGGACTATGGACCAGACTTTATGTGAATGTGTTAACCCAGATAGCTATGCCAAGGAGCCCATTCGTGTAGTTAAAGACTTCGGCTCCATGGCAATTGAACTGTGTGAATAGGATCTGAGCGCTATTCGGTAGTTTTGTGCGCTCAGATCCCAGCTATCTGGGGATATGTGAAATGTCTGTGTGTTATGTGTAAAAGGTGACTTTATGTATTTTAAAGTGTTTTGTGTCTTTTTGCAACTATGTGCTTAATGGAGTCTTGTGTCTGTCCTGGGAGATAATTGAATTACTTATCTCCAGGATAGAAGACTCTGAAACTGGTTTGGGCCAGAAAGCCATGCTTCATTTAGTCACAAAGGACTTTTTACTAACTTTTGAACCCTTTGTCTGATTTGTGCCATTTTTGAATATGTTGTTCCCCTGAATGGATTGATTGTGAATATGTAATTTCATGTGAATGTGATGTATGGTTTTGGAGTTATGAAAGTTGGGTAGAAAGTATGTTTTAACTGTATGTATAATTGAGTTTCCTCTCAGAATAAGGGGAGGGAATATGTGGGATGTAACTGTGATGTGATTGGTTGTTTTGTAACGCCCTGTGGGCTGTACTATGTTTGTGGATTGGGAATAAAAGAGACTGTATGTGACAGTACAGGAGTTCCTGTTTTAACCCTCAAAGTGAAGTGTCGTCTCATTATTGGGGGAAGGATTTATTGTATGTTGTTCCAGTTTGACTGCTAGGAGAGTAAACCTATTCGTATGGTTCCTATTCAACTGTCTACAGCATTCATATGCTCGGGAGAATTAATTTGTTTCTCCGGTTCAGTGATTGTGGTGTCTGCCAGAGTGCTTGGAGTCCTCAGGAAGCGCTAGGAGCATCCTTCAACAGAGGTACCCAGTCGGGGTGCCAGGCGATCCGTTACATTGGTGGCAAGCGGTGGGATGGCGTCCTAGTGCGAGGTAAAGCAGCTCAGAGACACAGTTCGTTTGGATTTACAAATTGAAGGCGACACTAGTGTTTATACAGCGTCCCTGTCTACATAAAGATTTGGGAAAATGGGGTTCGTGGATCCTTGGGCAACACGCACACCTGAGGAAGAGAGTGAATTGGAATGGAGAGATATTGCCCGGCAAGAACTATGGTACAATGCCCTGGAGGAAGTCCAGTATCAACGGCAGCAGCGCCTTCCTGGTGTCGCATACCGGTTGGAGGAACAAATGGCCTGGCGGATGCCGCTTCTGGGAGACCAACCCGGAGGTCAGCAGGTCAGACAACTTGAGTACCTCGTGGAAAGGGAACTGAGCCTTGACGCCTCATACCGGGCACTGTGGTGGTGCACTGTCCAGCCAGAGACATGGAGGGTAGAGGGCATCCAGCCGGAGGGGGAGAACTACACTAGCCCTGGCCTGTTGTGGAAGGCCTTAGCAGAAGACGTCGACTTTGGCAGTCCAGCAGAGTCACGGTACTGGGCTATCTTTTATTACCGAGGTGAGATGGTACAGGGCCCAAGATCTATGGGACTGGGACAAGACCTCCACCATTTGGCTGCCATGGAACGACAGCTAGAGATGGACTATGTGGAACTACTAAACTCATGTCAGCCACAGGGCATGGACACAGAACAGGAAAACTGGCTGGGGGACCCAGACCTGCCAACCTACAGCTGGGAAAACGCAGCCGAGGAACCCCCTGCTTCACTACCAGCTGCAGAAGTAGGGGACCTCATAGACTGGTCCTGGGAAGACCCACAAATGGCAGGTGGAGATGGGATGGCGGTCTCTCTACCGGCCCTACAGGGATGCTGGGCGGTCGGCCCAGATCTCCAGCGGCAGTATATATCACAGGGAGCTGAAGGTGCTGTCCTTCCTCCCCAGCGGCAGTGTGAGTTCCAGGGAGCCGAAGGTGCTATCCTTCCTCCCCAGCAACAGTGTGAGTTCCAGGGAGCCAAAGGTGCTGTCCTTCCTCCCCAGCGGCAGTCTTTTTCCCAGGGAACGGAAGGTGCAGTCCTTCCTCCCCAACGGCAGTGTGTCCTGCAGGAAGCGGAGACAGTCTGTCTTTCACCCCAGCCGCAGGACAAAATATTGAAAGGGGAGACAGTTGGTCCCCCTCTCCACCAGCAAAGAGAGTGTCAGGGAGAGGAGCAGGCTACCCCCTCTCCCCAGCGGCTGTCTACAGTTCAGAGAGAGGAGCTTGTTACACCCTCTCTCCAGCGGCAGCCTAACCCACCAAGGGGAGATGTTAAGCCCCACAACTATGCAGATGGGACCGTAGTCTCTGCACTTGCAGCACCAGGGGTAGGGACAGTCGGTCCTGTCCCCAGCCACAGAGCAGTGTATCCAGAGGGGAGACAGTCGGTCTCCCCCTCCCACAACCAGGCTCCAACCAGGCTACTTCAGTGGTAGCGCTGGCACCTGGGCAGAGTACCGCTGGTCTCTGCCCACTCAGCAACCCACCAAGGCATTCTACCAGCCCCCCGTACAGCCGTGGTGAGGCACCTGGACACGGACAACTTGCTATTTTATCCAGGTGTAGTAACCAGTTATTGTGTGTGGGCTGTATTGCTGTTTGTGCTTCGTGGGTGGGTTGCTGGACTAACCAGGGCACTGACCGGCAGGAGGTCAGATACCCTGTTAGTCTGGATGGTAAAGGGGAGAAATGTGGCGAAACCGACCTCGCCACGTGTCCTTGGAGGGGGCTGCTTGCCCGCCTCTTGCCTTTGGACTATGCACTGTGACTTTATGTGAATGTGCCAACTCAGATATTACGCCATGGAGTCATCTCGTGTAGTTAAAGACTTTGGCTCCATGGCAATTGAATCAGGGGATTAGGATCTGAGCGCCATTCGTAGTTTTGTGGTAGCCAGATCCCAGCCATTCGGGGATATGTGAAATGTCTGTGTAAGCGCGTGTAAAAGGTGACTTTTATGTATTTTAAAGTGTTTTGCGTCTTTTGCAACCATGTGCTTAATGGACTTTGTGGCTCCGTCCTGGGAGAGATAATTGAATTACTTATCTCCAGGATAGAAGACTCTGAAACTGGTTTTGGGCCAGAAAGCCATGCTTCATTTACGTCACAAAGGACTTTTACTAACTTTTGAACCCCTGGTCGGATTCATGCCATTTTTAAATATGTTGTTCCCCTGAATGGATTGATTGTGAATATGTAATTTTATGTGAATGTGATGTATGGTTTTAAAGTTATGAAAGTTGGGTAGAAAGTATGTTTTTACTGTATGTGTAATTGAGTTTCCTCTCAGGATAAGGGGAGGGAATATGTGGGATGTAACTGATATGTGATTGGTTGTTTTGTAACGCCCTGTGGGCTGTACTATGTTTGTGGATTGGGAATAAAAGAGACTGTATGTGACAGTACAGGAGTTCCTGTTTTAACCCTCAAAGTGAAGTGTCGTCTCATTATTGGGGGAAGGATTTATTGTATGCTGTTCCAGTTTGACTGCTAGGAGAGTAAACCTATTCGTATGGTTCCTATTCAACTGTCTACAGCATTCATATGCTTGAGAGAAGGTATACGCTTCTCTGGTTCGGTGATTGTGGTGTCGGCTGCAGTGCTTGGAGTCCTCAGGAAGCGCTAGGAGCATCTTTCAACGGAGGTACCCAGTCGGGGTGCCAGGCGATCCGTTACACCCCACTTTTTATTTTTCCTTTTTATCCCATCCATTTACTAATGCACTGTAAGCAATTCAAGAAGCTAACAGGTTATGCTTCAAATGTTTTAGCACGCTCACTCTTGTCTAAACAAATGTATTTGTTATTACGATTGTTGGATTTCATAACTCTCCTCTTGGGACGCGGGCCTTCGGGCTCCCACATTTCTATACGATCTCTTTTTAATGGATGTACTCTGATTTGAGTCATGGTCATTAAACTCATGTCATTTAATGTGAGGGGCCTGAACACCGCTCACAAGAGGCGACTATTGTTCAAAGAAGTCAAATCCAACAAATCAAATATTGTCTGTGTGACGAGACCAATCTCGCCACATTGCATTGGAGAAGCCTGGTTACTCGCCTGCTGCCTTTGGACTATGGCCCCCTGTTAAAAGACATCTTTTTTTTACCTGCAGAAAAGTTTAATTCGTGCTTTTCTGCCTGGGGTTTGGTAGTTTTGGTTGAATGTGTTATACCCCAGATAGGAATCCCATGGAGCCCATTCATATGAAACTGACTGTAAAGACTTTGGCTCCATGGTGATTAAACTGTATTTGTGTGGTCTGAGCGCCATTCACTTAATAATGTGCGCTCAGACCTGAGCTATCTGGGGATATGTTACATGTCTGTGTTTTATGTAATAAATGTGACTTTATGTATTTTAAAGTGTTTTGTGTCTTTTTGCAACCATGTGCTTAATGGAGTCTTGTGTCTGTCCTGGGAGATAATTGAATTACTTATCTCCAGGATAGAAGACTCTGAAACTGGTTTGGGCCAGAAAGCCATGCTTCATTTAGTCACAAAGGACTTTTTACTAACTTTTGAACCCCTTGTCTGATTTGTGCCATTTTTGAATATGTTGTTCCCCTGAATGGATTGATTGAGAATATGTAATTTTATGTGAATGTGATGTATGGTTTTGGAGTTATGAAAGTTGGGTAGAAAGTATGTTTTAACTGTTTGTATAATTGAGTTTCCTCTCAGGATAAGGGGAGGGAATATGTGGGATGTAACTGTGATATGATTGGTTGTTTTATCCCTCCCTGTGGGTGGTCCTGTATTTGAAACACTGTAATAAAAACCAGGCTGGGTGTGCCAGCACCTCAGACCACTGCTTGACCCTCAACACGGAGCCTTGTCTCGTTCTTGGGGGGATTCACTGTATGCTGTTAGAGACTGATTGCCAGGAGTGTAAGCTGCTTTTTCCTGTTCATCTGCTAGCAGCTATTTGGGAGGTTCCAGTTCGGGAGTTGGAGTGCTATTTTGTATCCAGTTTGGGAGTTTGGTGTTCTGCAGTAGCTGTGCCTGTATCTCTGGAAAGGGGGCCGATCGCCTAAACGGTTTTTACCCCTTGTGTGCAAAACGGTCCGTTACAATTGGTGGCAGCGGCGGGATCGTTCCTACAGCCAGAAGGACAGCTACAGGAGACACCGTTTCTTTGGATTTACAAGTGGGGGCAACGCATGTCCCAGTACAGCGACCCTAAAAGCAACAGAATGGAACCAGCAGTGTTATACAAGGAGGAGGACCTGGATGGCCGGGATGCATTAAGGAAAGGCATCTGGTACCAGGCCCTGGATAATGTACAATACCAGCGGGGTGAGAGTCTCCCCAGTGAAGAGCAGCGGTTGCAGAAACAAGTGGCCCTGCGGATGCCCTTCCTGGGAGAGCAGCCCCTGGAGGAATGGGTGAAGGAACTAGAGCATCGGGTATGGCAGGAGCTATGGCTGGAGGATGCCTACCAGGCGCTCTGGTGGTATATGGCACAGTATATACCCTGGACAGCTGAGCATGACAAGCCAGAGGGAGAGGAGTTTGATGGTCCTGGCTTGTTATGGGAGTCCTTTGCAGAGCCTGACTTCGGGAGCCCTGCGCAGAACAGACTTCAGGAAATTTTCTACGAGAGGGAGGCTAGGCATGACTGGGATGACCCCCATGAGGTAGAGCAAGACCTGGCTCACCTAGCAACCCTGGAGTGGGAACTGGAGCAGGACTACCGAGATCTCTTCCACTCCATTGGGAAGGCTCCGCAGGACAGCAGAGTGACAGATCCAGTCCCAGACCCATTCAGCTGGGAAGATATTGTTGAAATTTACTGGGAGGAACCCCAGGCGGCAGGTGGAGAGGGGACCGAGGTCTCTCCACCGGTATTGCAGGGAATTGGGAGCCCGAGCTCCATTTCCCAGCGGGAGATATTGCAGGGAATTGGGAGCCCAAGCTCCATTCCCCAGCGGCAGGCTGAGTTACAGGGGGCAGAGGTAGTTGTTCCTGCCCCCCAGCAGCAGAGTGATATGCCGGGAAAGGCAGTGTGAAGTGCAGGGAGAGGAGAGCAGCGTCCTCCCTCCCCAGCGGCAGGCTGAGTTACAGGGGGCA